GGCTGAGGATGTTTTCATGGCTCAGCTGGAGGGTTTTGTTGATCCGAAGCATCCCAATAGAGTGTGTAAGCTTGAGAAGTCCATTTATGGACTTAAGCAAGCATCTCGCAGATGGAATCTTTGCTTCGATGAGAAAGTCAAAGAGTTTGGATTTGTACGAAGCGAAGATGTATCATGTGTATATGTCAAAGCCAGTGGGAGTATAGTTAACTTTCTCGTTTTGTATGTCGATGACATACTGCTCATAGGAAACGACATCCCGACACTGCAGGAGGTTAAGTCCTGGCTCGGGAAGTGCTTCGCTATGAAGGACCTCGGAGAGGCTTCCTATATTTTGGGAATAAGGATAGTGAGAGAAAGAAGTAAGAGACTAATAGGACTTAGTCAGAACACTTACTTAGATAAAGTACTAAAACGTTTTGGTATGGAAAATTCGAAGACGGGAGATTTACCGATACAAAGTAATGCCAAGTTGAGTAAGACTCAAAGTTCGAGTACCGAAGCAGAGATAGCAGAGATGAGTCGAGTACCTTACGCTTCCGCAGTTGGCTCAATCATGTATGCTATGACTTGTACTCGCCTTGATGTAGCCTTTGCTTTGAGCATGGTTAGTAGATATCAAGGGAACCCTGGCAGAGCACATTGGATTGTGGTCAAGAATATCCTTAAGTACCTTCGGAGGACCAAAGAATGGTTTTTAGTCCTTGGGGGGAGTGATGAATTAAAGGTGCGAGGGTATAGTGACGCCAGCTTTCAGACCGACAGGGACAACTACCGTTCGCAGTCGGGCTGGGTCTTTACTCTTAATGGAGGAGCAGTAACTTGGAAGAGTTCCAAGCAGGAAACCGTAGCTGATTCAACGTGCGACTCAGAGTACATTGCAGCGAGCGAAGCGTCGAAGGAGGCAATATGGTTAAATAACTTCATTGGTGATCTTGGAGTTGTGGCTGCCATAAAGGAGCCTATGGAAATTTTCTGTGATAATGAAGGAGCGGTTGCCTTAACCAAGGAACCGAGGGATCATGGTAGATCTCGTCATATCGACAGAAAATATCATTTCATTAGACATCAAGTAGAAGAAGGACACCTCATGGTGAGAAGGATATCATCAGAAGATAACCTAGCAGATCTGCTTATGAAGAGACTGAGTAGGGTTAAGCATTTGCAGCATGCTAGGAGTATTGGGCTGAGAGATGATATAAGATTAGATTAGATAGTTTTTGAAACTTATAATAGATAAATGTTATTTAACATTTGATGAATAAATAAAGGAGTATTATTTATAAGTAAGGTTACTGTCTTATGTTAAATGTTTAACTATTGTTTCACTTTGCATGTTTTGACTTCCTGAATAATTAAGTTGATTTGGAATAATCGAATTATTCAAACGATCCACAATCGTTCATATGTTGGAAGTAGGTATGAATGAAGATTGTCATGAATTGGTGTGTAGATTGTCTAAATGGTATTAGACATAGCAAAAGTTTGCTGCAACGTTCATGAGTGCTTATGAACTAGTTTTAAGCATTGGAACAAACCCGCGCTTGCTGGAATCACCTTATGGAATTTGACGAAAAGGTTGATCGCAAGACGATAATATCATATGGTCTTAAAACCTAGATATATGGTTTGTTATTTGTTAGTTGGTTGTACATTGATAATGCGAAACCGCATCAGTAAATTGATGTTATAAAACGTATTGTTGTGTATAATTGATTAATGAATAAGTAAATGCATATAAGTCGAAGTTTATCTGTTACTTTTATCCTAAGAGGGTAAAAGCGATATCTCGGCCGCTCGATGATTTGATTTGACTTATGTGTCGGGCCTGGTCAGAACTAAATTGATGTGTTCGATTAAGTTCTATGTCAAATAAATTTGAGATCGAGAAACCAAATGCTGAAACAATTGGTTCCATAGAATTGATAGCATGATATCTAAACAGAGGACTATACGATCCCTTATCTAAAGGACAAAATTGATAAGATCAGAGTTTGACAGCGTCTTTGAGAGCTACGATTGCTAATCGGTATATATAGTTACTAGACTTATCCAAGTGGGAGACTGTTGGAATAGTGTCTAAGGCTGCAACTATATTTGACCCGATTGAGCATGGTCCTTTTGGGTTGCCTTCACCATAGCAACTTGATAGGATGATTTATAATGAGAGAAAAAATATTATTAATATATTATGAGGATAATATAAGGAATAATAATATTGTTATTTGATTAATATAATTCAGGAATTAATTAGGAATTAATTTGGTGACTTAAAGAGATTAATTGAATAAAGGGGCATAAACTGTCAATGGTATGATAGTTGTACTTTGGGCTATAATCTCTTATGGATAAGGGGTGGACGGATTTTAGGGTCTGGATGAGGCTAGAAATCGACCAAAGGCTTATCAATAAGGAGATTGGATTGCTTAGGGCTTAAGTTATCCAATTAGGGTTTAAGGGTGAAACCCTAGGAGGCTCATTAGTATAAATAGACCCATGGGGTCAAGGAAATAGGAGAGATCCTCCTTGAGGAAACCTTGGCTGATTTCTAGCCTTCCTCATCTCTCTCTAATTATCCTCTTGCTAAGTTGGCATTTGTAAGCCATTAGAGGAGTGACATTTGTGACTCTAAGCTTCAAGGACAAGAAGATTCAAGCAAGCAATTCAAGGTAATCTTTTAGATCTGATTTCATGTGCTATTAGATGAATGTTTTCATTAGATCTATCAATCAAAGACTTGGATACATTGCATGTTCAATTAGAGAAACCTAGATCCAAGCATTAGGGTTTGTATGTGCACATAGGAATGTTCTTATGGCTAAAACCTAACATATATATATATATATATATATATATATATATATATATATATATATATATATATATATATATATATATTGTATTACACCTATTTTTATTTGTCTAAATGAAACTTAAAATTTATTTGCCAAATTATACATCATTTGCATAGTAACATAATAAAATCATAGTGTATATATATATATATATATATTCTAAATGTACTTTTGTATAGTGCATTTATTCTCACCATAATTATATTAGACTTTACCTTTTACCTAATTTAAACCCTTGTAATGTTCAATTCCCTTATTTAAAGTCATGAAAATCATTATTATGGATCTCTTTAACAAGTAATTTGTTTTTATTTCAAAAGTTTATGTTTTTTTTCATCTATTTCCCATAAATTTTCTTTTTAAAATTATTATGTGTTCTCCCGCGTTTAACGCGGGTTATAATCTAGTTAATTATAAAACAGTTTCAATTAATTTATCAAATCATAATAAATTAATAAACTAATTCTTTTAAACTTTTTTGTTTTTTAAATTTCAATTGCTCAAATGGTTTTGAGGGTAATCTAAAAATATATTGTTATTATTAGAAATATTAACAATATTAATAACTTTGAACACTTTTTCTAACATTAAGAAGACCTTGAAACCCCTATCTATCAGCCTTTAATTATCTACAAAGTGCAACATAAACATTAGCTAGAATCGGGTCTGAATCGGTTAATCAATTATCTACAAAGTGCGACATAAACCCTAGCTAGAATCGGGTCTCAATCAGTTAATTGACAACCACGTTAATGGACTGTTAGTTAGCTGCAAAACAGTCAGCTAACAATCAACTAGCTACACATCGATTAGTGGTTCATCAACTAGCTACTAGTCATAAATTATCATGTCACATTAAATAATATTGTTATCATTTTGAATATACTAGCAATATCTTTGTAATCTATTAAGAACTGTACATACTTTTTTTTTTGTTAAAGTTGGGTTCATAATTGTTGACCATGTCATTCCACCCCGACCAGGAAACCCAATTCACCGAAAAATGATTTTGCACAGCAGCTTTGAGCAATAAGCAATGAGGCCATGAAGCCAATGAAGGATGGTGACTTTGGGTCACTAGTCATCAAACTAAGAATAATTAGGGATTGTATCGACAATGGTTAATAGTGGGTTTTAGATCGACAACCTTACAATGCCATTCTGGCAAAGTTACTCCCACGGGTTCATTCAGGAAAAAAAAATCTTAAAATAATAAATTAAAAGTGTTTTTATTTAAGCTGCTATGTTCTCTTAACTAAATATAAAAGTACAAGATTTTGTAGTTATTTTTTCCAACTATCACCCTCTTGTAGAAAACTCGGAGAACTTCTTAAGTCACAATAAAATAAAGATGAGTTAAATTATAAAGTTTTGAAAAATTAAATAACCTCGTATTTTATTCATAAAAATTATTAATGGAATCTATTTATTTATTTATTTATTTTTTACTTTCATTTAATATTGAGATTTTTCTTAGAAAAATAAATAAGAAGATAGATAATAACGATAAAGAAATATATAATTTCTTTTTTTCTTTTTCGATTTGATTTTTTGTTATATTATCATAACGTCAAATTTTCCCCATCCTTTTGTTTGTTTTATTTATGGGATAATATTTTGAATAAACCATGTGCGTCTATATTTTAATCTTATGTATTAATCATTAATTTAGTATTTATTAGATATACAACAATTAATTAAAGTTATATATATATATATATATATATATATATATATGTGTGTGTGTGTGTGTATGTGTGTTTATATATATAGTCTTTTCATGAGACATAAGTATATATATATATATATATATATATATATATATATATATATATATATATATATATATATATATGTGTGTGTGTGTATGTGTGTTTATATATATAGTCTTTTCATGAGACATAAGAAGAAACAAGTTTCTAGTTCACTTGCTTGCTAATATATCATGGCAACATTACCATCCCTTCAATTGTTTCTCCTTTCATTCCTCACATCTATCATTTTGATGACTTTCCATCTAGTTTGAAGATCAAGAAATGTTTACCCCCATCTCCATGCAAGCTTCCAATCCTTGGAAACCTCCACCAACTAGGATCGCACCCCCATCAGTCTTTACATGCTTTGTCTAAGAAATATGGTCCACTCATGCTCATTCACATTGGTAGCACACCGACGCTTGTAGCCTCATCTGTCGATGCAGCCCAAGGAATCTTGAAAACCCATGGTTCATCATTCTCAAGTCGGCCCAATATGAGTATAGTCAAAATCCTTTTCTATGGCGGTAAGAACCTAATATTTTCTCCACAAGGGGAACATTGGAGGAAGATGAGGAGCATTTTAGTCACCTGTCTTGTAAGTAATGCACGTGTTAAGTCATTTCGAAAAGTAAGAGAGGAAGAGACTAGGAATCTGATTGGCGTGCTTGAAGAGAGTCATGGCTCTTTGGTTGATTTGAGTGCATTAATAGTCAAACTTACAAACACCATAATTTGTAAGGTGGCATTCGGAAGGGTACATTCTGGGCCAAAGTTCACAAACTTATTAAAAGAACACGTCGAAATGATTGCAACTTTTAGTGTGGGGAGTTATATTCCATGGTTGTCCTGGGTAGATCGACTGACTGGCTTAGAAGGAAGAGCAAAAAAAGGTGCTGAAGAATTTGACGTGTTCATTGAAGGTGTTATTGAAGAACATGTGAACAAAAAAGGAGGAGCAAAGGCTAAAGGTGATGATGTGCAAGACGTAGTTGATATCTTATTGGAATTCCAAAATGAGAACAACATTATTTCCTAGGTTATCTACAACAGACACAACTTCATACACACCATCACAAGGTCATGCTTTAAAATAAAGAACATTATTAAAGAAAGCATTAATACTACCATATTCATTATCAAAAGAAAAGGTAAACCCTTGTTTTTATAAAGCATGAAAAGAAATAATATTCCTCGCCATTTCAGACGAGAAACAACATTTATTAAAATTTAATGTTAACACACTACTTAGCAACAAAGTATAAACTCCAATCTTGGTGACAGGTGATGCTTTCCTATTCCCCATGATTAAGCTTATCTTCCTATGCTCCACATCCTCACTTCTTCTTAGTCCATGCAAGTTAGAACAAATATGAATACCACAACCGGTATCAAGGACCCAAGAATTAGAATGGGGGTGAGTTATTAGACAATATAGTGTAAATACCTGCATGGTTGGGTTTCACCTTCCCATCCTTCACATCTTGCAGATACTTTGGGCAGTTTCGCTTCCAGTGCAACTTTTCGCGGCAATAGAAGCATTCAACCTCTTTAGGGTTAGCAGAAGGAGTGACAGAACCTTTCTTGGTTCCACTAGCAGAGGAGCCTTCAAGGGACTTTCCCTTGGTGCCCTTCGAGGGGCTCTTCCTCTTCTTCCCTTTGCCTTGCCCGATTACCAAGACAGGGGCCGTGGTAGGAGTAGTAGTGGTAACAACCGACTTACCCTTAACACCACTTTTGGTGGTCTTCAAGAGTCCTTGAAGCTTGTTGAGTGTAACTTCCTCCTTGTTCATATGGTATGTCATTCGGAATTGATCAAAACAAGAAGGTAAGGAGTGCAAAACGATATCAATTGCCAACTCCTTGGGGAAGTTCACATTTAGCTTCAACAACCGATCCACATACCTTTGCATTTTCTGCAAGTGGCCGGTGATGGGTTCACCATCCTTCATTCGGCTGTTATGGAGTAGATGATTTCATACCTCTCTTGGAAAGCACATTGATGGTAGCGGTCCATCAAGTCCTGGTGCATCTCAAAAGGGTAATAGTCCTCATAGGACTTCTGGAGTTTAACTATCATTATGGCCACCATGATACATGCCACTTTTGTGGCATCTCTCTCATGAGTCCGGAATTCAACGATCTCCTTAGGAGTAGCAGTTGACTCATCAATTTCCTATAGTTGCTTGTCGAGGACATATTCCTTGTCCTCATAGCGAGTGACCATCCTGATGTTCTGGATCCAATCCATAAAGTTGGAACCATCGAAGATGACTCTCCCACAAAGGTTCATGAGAGAGAAGGAGTCGGTAGGGTTTGAGCCAGAAGCATCATTGTTTGAAGACATCTGAAAAGAAGAAAAACAAGTTTAGATTAGATATAAAGATAGTCCTTAATAAAACACCCAAATGTAATATTATGGCTAGGACCCAACACAATATTTTATAACTTAGAAGAGAGATGTCGTAATCCAAGCTATAAAATATTTGAAGGTAAGTGAATGACGATTCACCAATTTCCACCATGAAAAACGAAATAAAGTATCAGGTTTTAATTGGTTTTGAAACTCCTAGATTCTTTGAGATTCATTGAACTTTTCAATGGCATGTTTCAATCTCGAGTGTGCCCTTCAAGTTTTGTGACTGGGATGCCGAGGATCACAAGACAAGGTGTGAAGTAACCATGCAAATTACTTGGTACCCTTAATATTTACCCCTCAATCGATGTGTCGGTTAACCACACGCGCTCCATCGATACTATGATAAACATTAAGTTACCCTTTTCCTACCTTGTTAAGTCCAAGTTAGTGTGTCGGTTAACCACACACGCTCCACTAACGACTTAAACAAAGTGCAAAGTGTAATTTCATAGATTAGCACTTTATTCACATTTTCCTAAAGAAACTAAGATTGGGAATTTATAAAACATTTAGTTACTTTAGTATCATTATACTTTTAATGAGAATTTAAAGTCATTATCCTACCCGTTCGGCTAACGACCCTTCACCAGTCAAGGAAGCAGTGGGTGAGAGTGGACACCCATTAAGCTGTTATTTTATAAGCAAAAACCTTATACCCCCCCCCCCCCCCCCCCTTTTAGACCGACTTCGTGAATGAGGCATACTAACGATAAAACGACTTTTGTTCTTATACATACATATAAGTATAAGGGTTGAATTTTAACTTTTAAAATTCTAGAGGTTGGAACTAAAGTTTTAAAGTGATCTTACATGTTCCAACACTTGAGGGCAAGTTTTGTAACTTTACAACACCTTTCATCTTTCATAACTTATGAGTTAATGATATAATAAAATGAGTGACTTTTCATTTTACGTAACCTATGTGTTACTTTAATGGACTTTTAAAGGTGTGACTTTTGGTAATCCATAACTTGAGGAAAATTTTTGAATTCCATTAAAACACATCAAAATAAAAAATTAAACTAACAAACAAGTTACAAATAATTCATATGATCTTCTAAACTCATAAGTTCATGAACATGCATATCAACAATTTCAAGAATCATAAATAAACAATATAAAACTTGAAATTTTGATATTAACCATTGTAAATGGATTAGAACAACTATTACACCATCTAAAACAAGTTTTTAAAACAACCATAGGGATGATTTCAGTAATTTACTCTAAAATAAATTTGACAACTATTTTTAGTATTATTGTTTTTTTTTTTTATCTGATGTTTCAACGTGTTGTAACCTAATATATAACGATTAGGGCCAGTCCAAACATATATGGGTCCAGGACGAAAAGAAAAAAAAAATAAAGATTAAAAAAATATTATTTATTATTCACTGTAAACGCATTCAATTAACAATAACAAACAAGCCAAATTTTTTATCGTTTGAGTTAGTTTGAGTTTGAACCAACTTTAAACCCTAAAAATCATTTAAGTAATATATATATATACACACACACACTACATAGCCTAGAAATTTTGGGCCCCTATAGACGTGAGACCTTGGGATCGCCCGGATTGCCTGTCTGGACCGGATTTGATAACGATACATTTTTATTATATATATTTGATTTCTTATCAATTAACGCTTTCATTTTGGACATGTATTTATATTTGCAAAGTCTACATCTTCTAGACACACCCATGTCACCCATGTTTTTTGTGCGCACTCATTCTCTTAATTTATAATTTGTGAACGACTAACTTAAACTCCAATAACGAACTTTACTATGGACTCATTCATCTCAACGTTATAAAATTAATTTATGAAACACCGTTAGTCAAGAGGGGTGACACAATTATATAAAATTAATTTATGAAATAGAGAAAGACCCATGACTCAGGTGTTTCAGCGTGACAAATCGGTCAGCTTACCAATTAGGGTTTATGAAATATTCAAAGTAGCTTTTAATTATGGGTTATTGCTGTAAAAACCCTCATATTTACAAAAAATAGTTGGTTATGCCCAAAGTACAAATTTATGTTCATTAATGCCTAACATTTGAGCAAATTTTACCACGGCTTTTTATCAGGTTAACACCAGGTAGCCGGTGAGTAATCCTTCTTAACAAAAACTTGGTCGCTGCTCACCACCACCGACGCCATGCGTCATCACCACCACCACCACCACC